GTAAATTGGCATAACTACATTAGGGAGAAAAAAAGTTTAGTGAGACTCTTAGAGTTGAGTGTTTGTGTATTCTAAGATGTGGTAAATTCCTTGAGTTAATTCTAACTCTAAACATATCAGCAAGCATGCAAATCCTAAGAGAGTACATGCATATTGGTATGATACTGTTTTCTAATTTAAAATAAGTTAATACATACTTTTAAAGAGTAGACACAGATGCACTTAAATATATATCCAGAACGAAAAGTAAGGAATTTGTGAACACAAGATTCAGGATAAGGGTTACCTTGGTTGAGGAAGCTAGGATGATGGTATGGAATGGTGTGAGGGCGGGAAGACCACACAAATTTCTAGCCTTTGTTTTGAGTGGCAAGCCCACGGTTGTTTTTAATATTAAATAAATAAATAAATAAAGCCCTGCTATAGAGTAGTGGTTTAAGTGTGCTATAATTTAAGAATTAATGATTAGTATCATTTTAGCAGCACAGGCTAATAATGGATTTCTCTTAAAAAAAATGTTATTTCACCAACTGAAACTTAAATTTGTGGTCCCAGATAGATATTAACCGAATAGGAGTGTTCATAACAGCTTTTTTTAGCCAAACATATATTCTGGTCTCTTTGCTGATCTCACAATGTGTGTATGACTACATAATCTCTGTTTAACAAGTAGGCCAAGTGCATACACTAAAATCTTCAGATAAAGAATTTCCTGCTGGGGTTGGGGTTTGGCTCAGGTGGTAGAGTGCCTGTCTAGCAAGCATGCCTTAAGGCCCTGAGTTCAAGCCCCAGTGCTGCCAAAAAAAGAAATTCTTGATCTAAAAGTTTATATGAGTAGTGTACAGTTTGATACATGTGGATGTTCATATGGAACTGTGAAGCCATTAACATAATCGGGATAATGTCACCCCAGAAGGTTCTTTGTGTCCATTTGTCACCTTCTGTCCTATTCTCTCTGCCTCTCCTCTGAGACTCCAAGCCACTACTACTCTGCTTTTTGTCAGGTACATTTTCCATATTTTTATGTAAGTGAATTATACATGTACTTAAAAAATTGTTTTTTGATTTAGCTTCTTTCAGTTAGCATAAATTTTCCAGGTTTCATCATGTCGTTATGTGCATTGATAATCCATGCCTTTTTATTGATTTGTTGTCATTGCATTGCCTGTTTCATAGTTTATCTGTTAACTGCTAGTGAACATTTTTGTTGTGACCAGTTTGCAGCTATTACAAATAAAGTATCTGTGAACATTTACATGTAAGTCTGTTGGGTAAGTTCAACCTAGGAGTTGAATGATTGGGCCAGGTGTGGTGGGTATATGTTGAAATTTTAAAGAAATGACCAAACTTTTTTCAAAAGTGATCATGCTAGTTTGCATTGCATAAGAGTTTCAGTTACTGCACGTGGTCGCTGTATTGGTCATCACCGGTCTTTTTACTTTTAGCCATGAAAATAGGTGTGCAGTAGTATCTCTTTGGGATGTTCATTTCCTGGTGGTGGATAATAATACTGAGTATATTTCCATGTGCTTGTCATGCTTATGTCTGCTTTGATTAACTATCTTCAGATCTCTTGTCCATTTTTACATTGAGTTGTCTTCTTAGTTTTAAGCATGCTTTACATATTCTGGATGTATCATCAGCACTGTGATCTGCAGAGATTTTCCTCCACTTTCTGACTTGTCCATTTTCCTTTTCTTATCAGTGTTAGTCACTCAAAAAGCAGAAGTTGTTAATTTTGGTGAAGTCTGATTTATCGGTTTTTTCTTTTATAAATCATACTTTTGTTTTTTGTTAAGAAATCTTTATATGATAAGGATTTTCTATATTTTCAAGAAGTTTTATGGTACATCTAGATCTGTGATCCACTTTGTTAATTTTTGTAAGAGATGTGTGGAAAGGATCAAAATTGATGTTTTGGTTTTTCTGTTTCCTTTTTTTTTTTTTTTTTTGCGTAAATATCCCATTTTTCCTTCTTTGTATCTCTGTTTCTTTAAAAAGACTTTCTTTCCTCAGGTTTGGAAAATTTTTGACTAGTTTCTTTAGAGATTTTTTCCTCTCTCTACTTTCTAACCTTTGGTAACTATTTACATATATATTAGGCTCCTTGAACTTGCCCTATAGTTCACTGATACTCTGTATGTTTCTTAGGTTTTTTTCTCTGTTTTCCATGTTGGATAGTTTCTATCACTGTAGTGGATCTTTAAGTTTACTAATCTTTAGCCAGGTATGGTTTTACATCCCTGTCTATAATCCCAGCACTCAGGAGGCTTTCAAGTTCAAGACCAGTGTCGGACTACATAGTGAGTTTGAAGTCAGCCCAGGCTACATGATAAGATCCTGTCTCAGAAAATAAATAAATAAAACCCCAAAAGTAAACAATAAAAAGTTTACTGATCTTTCTTCTGCAATCTCCTGTTAATCACACCTGATTTTTTTTTTTTCTTTGCTGGTTTGTTTTCATCTCAGACATTTTGGTTTTGTTTCTTTAATGTCAATTTGAGTTTGTTTTTGTTTTTTTTCTATTTTTGGAGATAGGTTTCACTATGTAGCCCATGCTGGCCTCAAACTCAAGCTTCTCCTACCTCAGCTTCATAAATGCTGGGATTGCAATTGTATACCGCCATGCCTGGTTGGGTGTTAGATTTTTTTTTTTATTAGAAATATCCTAGGAGCTACCATTTTCCAGGTTTTGCTGTACTACTGTAGCTGTAGCCCTTTCTTTCTCTCTAATAAATCCTACTTTGTATACAAAAAAAAAAAAGAAAAAGAAAGAAAGAAATACCCTTAAGCATTTCCCTAGGATGCAGTTAGTTTACTTGGTAGTTTAATCCTTTGAGATCTTGCTCCTTAATCTTTGATAGGTACAACCAGAGCAGGAGAAGCCTGGGACATAATCCTTCTAAGGACTCTTCCCAGGAGTTATGAGGTCTTTTCCATTCAGACTGGTGAGAGGAGAAATTGTTCTTGTCCCTGTATGACCTCGCGACACTGTTGACAGTAATGCTGTCAACAGTGATTCTTTTCCATCCTGGGGAAAGAGCTGCCGGTAATTTCCTCATATCACTGATCCTGTGCCGCTGAAGACCAGAGGGAGTCCCAGTGGTTCTCAAGCCCTCTCTGCAGCTTTCCTCCTGATACTCTGCTGCTACCTTGATCTCCCAGGTCTCCCAGTTCCTCTCCTCTGCTTGGAGACCACCAGGTTCCTTCAAGTTCTTCCTTTCCTCAGTTGCAACCCGGGACTTTCTGTGTGCAGTCAGCCAGGGCAGTTGTGCAGTTTGTCTTTTTTGTTCCCATCTCTTAGGGATCACTGTCTTCCTTGCCTGGTCTTTGATGCATTGTTTTATATCTTTTGTCCAGGTTTTTAGATATTTCCTGCCGACCTGGTCCTCACTGCCCTGTAGAAATTATGCTATTAGTTTACCTTTCCAGTGTTTTTTTTATTCATATGCAAGCACATAAAATTACATCTTCTTAGTCCCTTTCCAGCTCCATTTTTATGAAAAGTTTGCATAGTATACATGTGATTTTGAACCTTTTTTTCCCCATTTAGCCATGTATTTTTTTTTCTTTCTCTTTAAGCCAATTATTTTAAAATTTTTTCCTTACTGGACTGGCAGAATGTATCAAGTGGTAGAGCACCTTTCTAGCAAGCATGAAAACCTTGTGTTCAAACCCCAGTACCAAGTACTCCAAAAACAAGGGAAAGAAAAAAAAAATTTCCTTATTGATACTTAGTGCTGCTGCTATATATACACACTTGTATTTTTCACGGTGTTTTACAGTATATAGCTATATAGAATTTTATAGACCTTAGCATTAGTTATATGAGCAATTCACTGTTCAACAGGTTGCTTCTAATCTTTCTATTGCAAATAATTCAGTAGTTAATAGTTTTGTACATTTTACTTTACATGTATCTCAGTAATAAAACTGTTGATTCCATTCCCAGAAGAGGATTGCTAGGTCAGGGGGTTTATGTATTTGTAATCTTGGTAGCAGTTGCCAAATTATCCTCCCAAGAGGTTGAAACATTCTCCACAGGCCTGTTAGGAAAATGCTATTAGCCCACAGTCCTATCTACAGAATATATCAAATATCTGGCTTTCTGCTAATCAAATAAGAAGAAAATGTTTTCCCAATAAGTTTTAATTTTTATTTCTACTGAGCGAGGTTGAACATCTACTTCTTTTTTTCTGTCCTATCTACTTTGTTTGTCAGTTTTTACTTTTAATAAGAAGACTATGAAATTGAAATACCTATTTTAGTAGGTAGTGTTTAGTAACCCCTTAATAATTCCCAGTTAACATATATAGCCTATTAGTGGAACACTTTAAGAATATAATGATACTAAATCTAGTCAATGCTTTAATGATTTTAAAGTTAGTTACAAAATTCCTAGGTCAAAGATTAGGTCAATTGATTTTCCAGACAAATTTTGCCAAAGTAAAACCAAGTAAATTCTTAAGTTTTTGAGCATGAGGGTAATGACTGCCAAAAGTTATTTTGTAAATGAAAAAATAATTTTTTCCTTCTAGAACTCTTACATTTGAGAGCTATAGATTGTATGCCATAAATAATGGCATTTCCAGAACAACTTACTGGGAGCCTGGGAATTAGTATTTGAAATTTGGATGAAATTTGGAACTTTATGGTTACAAAATATATTCTGTTCCACACATAAGAATGATAAAAACATCATGGGTAGGTGGCAGACATGGTTCTTCAGTCAGGCCCCTTTCTTCAGAAGTCGGAGTATTCAGGTATTTTTCTAAACTTTTCATATTAATCTCTTTTCCTAGCTCATCCTAAATGGCTCTAAGTTTTGCTTCTCTCATTTATAATTTGTAAGATGTTGTAACCTATGGACAGTTAATCAGGGAGGTGGTTGCTTTACAAAATGAGTGAAGTAATGAAATGGACGAGTAGTTTGTATGTTACTAGTTTAGTATACATTAAAAGTCTGGCTTTATTTATGCAATTGGAAAATATATTTTTAGAGTTGGGCCAATATGGAGCGGCATCCAGCACGCATCCATCAGGTATGATGTCCCGATTCCAGAGTACTCTCTTACTTGTTTTTGTGTTGCCAGTCAACTAAATTTACCTTGATTGAATGCAGTTGTTTTGGGTTTTTCTCGTTGCCAAAACATGTGAGCTGCATGCATTGCCACATTAGCCACTGTCACATTTTAGCAGTCTTAATATAGTTTGTATGCTTGCTGTTCAGATGCTTCTAAATTATATATCTACAAAAAAACTTACTGGCTTACTGACTTTTAAGCATTGTTTTTTAGCCTTTTTGAAGTTATTGAGAAATATTCTCAATGATTTCTATCTAAATAACTAAAATATTTTCACATGCCCCCAGATTGTTACTTTTAAATGATTTTAGTGTGTACCTATCAGTTTTGCTTTTTTTTAATGCACTAATAATATAATGTATTTACTTGTACTATTTAGATATCTGGTTTGGTTGTAGTTATAGGAGTATGATAAACAAACAGAAAAATAACAAAGTTATTTTGACTTAATTGTGTGCTTTTCCTGCTTATTAAGTTTTACCTGCTGATGCTGATTTATGCTAAGGCTATGCTTTAAAAGATAAAATTATAATTTCTATGAAGGTGAAACAAGTAAATTTTAAGAGAGTAGTTGATCTAAATTTGCCATTAAATATTGATAGTGCTTAATTTAATTAGAATTCAAATTAAAGTGAATAAGCAAAACATTGCAAATACTAGAGATCCTAAGTAGCATTGGTAACTGATATACTTTTATTAGTAAAACAAATTTAAGAGACATGTGTATATTTAAATGACTTTATGGGGATTGAGGTGTGACTCAGTGGTAGAGTGCCTGCCTAGCAAACCAAAGCCCTGAATTCAAACCCTGTACTACCAAAAAAAAGAAAAAGTTGATGTTAAATTGAAAAATATTTGAAAGGCTTTTTAATATTTGTCTTAACTAATTTAATGCTGATTATTTAAATTTAAGTGATCATATAAATGAGAGTACAATGATTTCAATATATTTTTTGCTTGTTTTGCCCAGTGTAAGTCTGTCTGATTAAAAAATACTGCTAGGGGTAAAAGTTGAGTTTTTAAATTTTTTTAAGGTTACCAAATACATTTCAAGTCTGACTTCAGCATGAACTTTCATGGCATCTTCACAAAGTCAGTCCTAAGGCATCTGAAATACATAGTTTATATTACCTGCATATGTTATCTCAGGATGCTAACTGGAAAGTAGCATTTACTTACATTAAAAATTATGCAGTTGGTTGGAAAGTTAAGTGAAAAGATTGGGGGGAAGTAGAAGAATTGATGGAGTGAAATTATTGTTAGACTCTATGATTTAAGATTAGAAGTTATACAAATGAAATTTTAATTTAGCATTAAGGTTTATATTTTTTTCTGATGACATTCTATTAATATCCTAATAACTTGATTGTTATTTGTGAGAGACAATTCATTATCTGAAAGTATGAAATAGTGATTTGAAAGAGATTTTTAAAATTCAGTATGCAGGGTTCAGTGGCTCTCACCTATAATCTCAGCTTCTTGAGAGGCAGAGATTGGGAGGATGGAGGTTCCAGACCAGCCTGGGAAAAATGATCTGGGCCCCCCCACCCCCACCCATCTCAACCAATGACTAGGCACAGTGGCATGCAACCTATGCCAGAAGCACAAATAGGAAGGTTGTGGTCCAGGCTGGCCTGGCATAAAGCAAGACCCTATCTCAAAAAATAACCATGCAAAAATGGCTGCACTGGCCATTTTTCAAGTGTTAAGAGTGCCTGCCTAGCAAGCATGAGGCCCTGAGTTCAACCCCAAGTACCACCAAAAAAAAAAATCCAGTGGCATATGACACATCTGTAGTATTTTTCATTGTGCTGTGTGTTTTAGGTATTTGTGAAGTGTCATTTTGATTATAATCCATACAATGATAACCTGATTCCCTGCAAAGAAGCAGGACTGAAGTTTTCCAAAGGAGAAATTCTTCAGATTGTAAACAGAGAAGATCCAAATTGGTGGCAGGTTAGTATGCTTCTCAAAAGTGAACTGCTTTTCTATTTCTAATCTTAGATCTGGCCAGTATCTGAATATGCAGGACGAAGGTAGTAGCATTTGTTCCAATGATTTTTCCTGCATGAACAGCTTCTGCTTCATGGCTACTAATTTTGTGGACAGAAGACCAAATTGAGAGGGAATTTGTGAGTAGCTGTTAATAAATGCAGAAATAACCCACCTATGGTACTGTCCCATTGGTTTAGTGATTAGACTAATTAGTTCCTACACATGGTTGATCCCATTCAAATATGCTGTTGGGCAAGAAGAAGTCACTTGGAATCATCCCTTGTATTTGGTTTTGGTTTGTTTCAACTAAGCGTCTGTTACCATGGATACAGTAGTCTTTGTCTTTTCTGTCTCTGTGTACATTCATGGCAAGTAAAACATAATTTCTTAAGGTCTTAAATCTGTTTGCCCTCTTCTTCCCAGGTATTGATAAATGAAGGTTAACTCTGTCAGTTTTGTTTGGTCTTGGATTAAAATCTGTATATGTGGGAAGAAATGTATATTATCATCTGTGTGATACTGTTCTTTTTCCTTTCCCCTAATACCACTTATTACTGAAAGCAGTAATAAGTCTGTTTTTGTAATTGCTTATATGAGCTAAAAACCACACTATTTAGAATTGGAGAAACTGATAAATAAGGAAGTCGGGAATCTTAAATTATCAGCGCGACGAGTAGTCTCATTAGAGAGCAAGGTTAAGAGGGAAGGATGGGCCTAGGACCCAGCACCGAACTCTGAAATTCACTGAGGTGCTGGTAGCTCACGTCAGCTCTAATGAGTTAAACTGACTTCTAAGGGATTTGAATGATTTACAGAATGAGAACCGTCTCACTAGTGTGCCCTGAATTGAAGACCGTATTATGTGTAAGTGCAGTATTTTGTATAAGACAGTATTATGCATAAATGGGCAGAAAGCTAAGAAAATTAAAAAGAATCCATGATTTTAGAGGTTTCTTAGAATGTTCATTTTAAAAATATATGTTCTGTGGCTGTTTCCTTTATTTTTTTTCCCACTTTCCCCTCTTTCTTTCATTTTCTACAAATGTCATCTCTCAGTTTTCTGTTCTTATCCTGTCAGCATTATCTCAGTCTCTTCCTTCATTTTGAGTCTATTACTTTAATTTTAATGTTCAGAATTGCTAAAACCAATACCATTTTCTATGCCAGTTAGAGGAATAAAGACACTAACTTTGTGAGATAAGCCACTAGCAATCTATTTCTCCAACTGCTATTTAAAAGTATCACTTATTTTAACTTAAAAAGTTTTTTTGACATTAGATGAAATTTTATCTACTTTAAATTTACTACCTCTCAGGATGAACAGATTCCTCTTAGCATGAATTAAAGTCTACACTCTAAACCAGGCGGAGTAGCACATCTGTAATCCTAGCACTTGAAAAGTGGAGGCAGGAGAATCTCAAATTCAAGAGCAATTTGTGCTATATAGCAAGATATTGTCTCAAGCAAACAAAAAAGAGTGCATGAGAGAGAAAATTCTACATTGTATATTCCCAAAATATTGTCTCCTTTTCATTGATTTGACCTTAAGAAAGTCAACATAGTAGGATTAAGGTTGATAGTTAAATAGCTCATTAAAAGGTACTAGATGAAATGTCCTCTTAACACATCTTACTATAGAATTTCATGCATTTCTTTCCCTTCTTTGACTAACTTGGTATTATAAATTAAAAAATTGCACTGATTTAAGGAGCCCTTATACCTTTGTATTTTGGTTTCAAAACTTCCCTACCAGATGACATGGATAAAGAACTTTAGGTACCAACTGGTTTCTCACTATGGAAGTGTTTTAAGTACCTTAACTGACAGTGCCATTGATGTAAATCTAAAGATTGTTTGTAAAAGCAAATGTGATTTTCTTTTTAAGTAATCACTGCTTGTTCTACTTACTAGACTATGGTCTCCTAATTTTGGTTACTGAGATATACAACTCATTAATTTGATTCTAGGCTAGCCATGTGAAAGAGGGAGGAAGCGCTGGTCTCATTCCAAGCCAGTTCCTGGAAGAGAAGAGAAAGGCGTTTGTTAGAAGAGACTGGGACAGTTCAGGTGACGAACTCCACACAATAAGTAACAAGCAAACCCAGTACTCACCTTTCTCTGCCTCTTTTGTATAAATATGCAAATGAATTTCTTTAAAATATATCTAGAATTAGTCCCTCCTATCTGCTTTATTGTTTTCTCAAAAGTCATCTTTTTGATCCCTTTCTGCCACCTACTGGTAGAGTATCAAAACACAGTGGCCTAACTCACCTCTGGTCCCTGGAAAGATAATTGTCCTGCCCTCATAAAACATGGCAGCTTTATCATATTGTGACATACCATTTAAGTTGTATTTGTCTTGTCATCCTTCAGGACCATTCTGTGGGACCATAAGTAGCAAAAAGAAGAAAAAGATGATGTATCTCACAACCAGAAATGCGGGTAAGTTTTTAATACTTTTTTAAAGAAGTTTAACTAGCTTTAAGAGTGTGCTTTATTATGTAAGTACCGTTTACAACAAAAATGACATGATTATAACTTATATTAATGCAGATGCAGTAGGTATTGAACCTGTTCGTTGAGGGAATTTTGAAATAGTACTTTATGTGCCATTTCTAAAGGACAGAGTGCCTTTATGAAGATATTTAAAAGAGTTATAATGAAGGGTGACTATTCTCCCATATCATTGTCCGTGAGACTTTTGGGAAATAGCACTGGACCAAACAAACCTTTCATATTTGTCAGTTATATAATAAAGCTAGAAAAGGGTTTTTAAAAAAATTAAAAATCCCCAGACCAAGGGTCCAGGATGTAGCTCATTGGTAGAATACTTATCTAGCATGTACAAGGCCCTGAGTTCTATCCCTAGCACTAAAACAAACAAAAATACACACACACACCAGCTTGGGTATATCTTTCTTATTTACAAAGGAAGAAAGCCATATATGGTAGTGTACACTTGTAATCTCACCATTTGGGAGGCTAAGGATCAGAGTTGGAGGCAACCCTGTCTCAAAAAAAAAAGGGAGGAGGAGGAAAATAAATGTAGATAGGACTGCATCACACTAAAGAGCCTCTGCACAGTAAAGGAAACAGTCACCAGACTCAAGAGACAAGGCACAGAATGGGAGAAAATCTTTTCCAGCTATTCATCCAATAAGGAACTAATATCCAGAATCTACAGGGAACTCAAAAAACTCAGCCCCCAAAGAATCAACACACCAATGAAGAAATGGGCACATGAATTAAACAGGGAATTCTCAAAGGAAGAGGTACAAATGGTTAGTAAATACCTGAAGAAGTGTTCAACTTCCCTGGTTATAAAAGAGATGCAGTTCAAAACAACACTTAGATTTCATCTCACCCCAGTTAGAGAGGCCATAGTCAAGGGTAATAACAGCAATAAACGCTGGTGAGTATGTGGCAATACAGGAGCCCTTATATACTGCTTGTGAGAATGCAGACTAGTACAACCACTATGGAAGGCAGTATAGAGACTGCAAAAAAAAGAGAGATAGAACTGGCGTATGATCCAGTGATACCGCTCCTGAACATCTGCCCAAAGGAACGTAAGACAGAATACAGCAGAGACACCTGTACACTGATGTTCATCATAGTACTATTCACAATAACCAAGCTTTGGAAACAACCCAGATGCCCTACAACTGATGAATGGATCAAGCAATTGTATATATACACAATAGAGTATTACTCAACCATGAAGAAAAATGACATGTGGTTTGAAGGTAAATGGATGCAACTGGAGGACATCATGTTAAGTGAAGTAAGCCAGGACCAGAAACACAACAGCTGCATGTTTTCTCTCATATGTGGAAGATAGATCCAAAGATAAACATACACAAAAACAAGCATGGTCATATACAAACTCGGATGTAGAACATGTTTGTAACAGTAGAACTACTCTATGGAATTTGGGGAAAGAGGGACAGGAAAAGAGAATGATAGAGCATTAGTAATATCACATAACATAAGATGTGAAGGTAGAGGATATAAGGATGTGTACTGAAAGCTATTGAAAAATGGGGAGTTGGGGGTGGGAGGTAAAGGGTTAAGGGAGAGTAATGGAAGGGGTTGAACAGACCAAAGTAAAGCACACCCACAGTGGGCACACATTGAGACACCCCTTTGAACATCAACTTAAATATTAATAACGAAAATCAGGACTGTAAAATAGGTGCAGTGTGTAGGGGGGTATGGTCTAGTGAATGAAGGAGATTAAGGTGAGGGTATATGGTAGATGGACTTCATATACCTATATGAAACAGAACTAGGAAACCTCTTGCAGTTGCTTTAAGTGGGGTGGGGAGGGGGAGAGATGATGGGGGCAATGTAATTAATATATATAATATAAATCTAATCAGAATTGTCACTATGAATCCCCCCCATATAATGAATATATCCTAATAAAAGATTTTTTAAAAGAAAATAAATGTAGAAACTACCATATTCATGATAATATATGCACCTGTTAAAGGAAATCATATAGAAAAGAATAGGATGGTGTAATCTACTATGGAGAAACTGTGCGAAGAAAGAGTTGTTGTTGAAATCATAATCTAAGAGAAAATTGTTATTATAGATTGAGAATTCTGGCAATAATAGATAAAACAATATTTCAGATTCACTTTGGCTTTGTTACTCATATAAGACTTTTTCGAAAAACAAAAAATTTGTAATTTTCCCACTGACTATGATTTATAATTTAGGGATGTGTTTAGTTCGGATCTAACATTTTATAGGTAAATTTCAAAATTGTGATATTTAAATGTCAGTATGTTTTGTCTGTACACATTTTATGCAGCACGTTCTCATTCGTGTCATTGGAAGGGCATGGTCAGCCTATGCCACTTTAGCAGCTGCGTTGGGTACATTCCTGTCCTCCATACCCAATGTGTGCTATTTGGTGTAAACTGTATAATCTTATCTGTAATTTACTTATTTTAAAACAATTACTTCTACTGACAAATTGATAATAAGACCTTTAAAATGTGGACTATTTGATAAATAAGGATAAAGCGGGAATTTTTCTTCCTTAGATAAAAATTTAAAGGCAAATACATGAGAATGGATGTTTAAATCAAGATATAAAATAATTTGTTGTGCCTTACCAAATAAACTGGATAGTGTTCCATGTATATAATTCAAGTGATGTTTATTTATTAAGACAACAAAACTATTGGACAGAAGAGCAGATTTTTTTCATATATATGAGAGATAACTGAGTGTAATGCTTTCCTATTTCCTTTCACATTTAGAATTTGATCGGCATGAAATCCAGATATATGAGGAAGTAGCCAAGATGCCCCCTTTCCAGAGAAAAACATTAGTATTAATAGGAGCTCAAGGTGTGGGCAGAAGAAGTTTGAAAAACAGGTTCATAGTGTTGAATCCCACTAGATTTGGGACTACAGTGCCATGTAAGTTTTTTGTGTCTTCTATTTGTTGGCAGGAAAGAGGATGAGCACATGGAAGGAGGAATTACTACTATTCTTAATTATTATTTTAAATAAATTTATTAAATTTTTATTATAAGTAGATAGATTTTGATTATGCTAGTGAAGGTGAACAAGTAGACAATACTGAACAACTCAGTAATTCTACAGCAGTCTTGAAATACTGCTGCAGTGCTGCTGCCTAGTAGCAATTGCCTCTCCAGACTATTTGATCTAAGACCTTTACAGTTAAATGCAAGTGTTTTAAGAGCCGTGGCAAATTGCATTCATTTAATGTTTTCTTATACAGCTAATATCTGCCTGGAAAGTTCTGTGTTGACTCATTATAGTGTAAAGAAAAGAGGAAAGCCTACTCAGACATACACTCAGTGTGGAAGAACTTTGTGCATTGATGTTGTCTGGCTTGTAGCTTTCAATCCTGCAGGGTTGATAGCACATCAAGAGCAATTTGTCCTCCACATCAGATAGCATTCATTAAGATCACAGATTGATGTATAAAATGAAATAATATGGATGAGAAATATCAGTAAAGTAATCAAGCACTCCCTTTGTGATCTTTGCATTTTTCCTTATTTTTGCATATTTATGTAGAAAGTTAAGTAATATGCCAGAAATATACTTGATGAGAATAGAATTAGAAGGAGAGTTGGATGGTATTACTAGCATCATAATGAGTACTGTGTATTTGTCTCCATTTTGGAGATGCACGAACCTTTGCTGTGGGAACTTAGAAGCACTACCCCTCCCCCCCCCCACGCCTAAGCAGGGGACAAGCCAATGCTGCTTTCATAGGTCCCTTTTCTATGCTCTAACCGTTGACCAGCTTCGTACTGCAGTATCCCTTTAGGATATTAATACCTTTAGGCTGTTTTGTGTCGATTTAGCTGAAGGCCACCTTATCTCTTCTAAATAAATTTCAGTTTTTTGTCCAGTATGTTTTGAGATTGAATTGTCAGTAGGTAATCATTCCTAAACCTCATAGAAGTTATGGGAGTAACCTCGTCATAGCCCCTTTAGGACAAGGTTTTGAATTCTCTAAATTTAGACAAATCCTAGTTTAAATAGTTAACAGAACAAAGTTTCACTGTGACCAGAATATTTTAAAGCTTCAATTGTAAAATAACATTTTTATTTTTATCAAATTAATATGTATATAATATATTAACCAGTAGTTCTTTGAGACATGGAATGGAAAAAGTAACCTGTCCTCTACCCCACCTCTGGCCCACTTACCAGATAAATTTACTTTTCATTCCTTTTACTATTTCTTTTGGTAATTTTCCATATTTTTAATAGTGTGTGTGTATTCTACTATGTCCTGCTTTATCCATTGACTTCCTATCCTTCCAGTACAAAGACAGCTCTGTTTTCAGTTGATTCAATTTTATTTTCTTGAGCAGTTTTCTCCCTCCCACTACCCAGCAATCACTAGCATTCATTTTTTTCTTCCACTCTTCACCTGATTTTTTGTGCACGGATGTTGTTATTCTTTGTTGTTGCTGTTTTTTCAGCCAGACTTCCTTACCCAATGAGTTGTGTCTGTCTCAGAACCTTCAGTCTTCCTGTCCCAATGAGGACCCCGTGCTTTGTGCCAAGCTGTATTTCTCTTTGTTGTTGTTTTAGGTGAAAACTTTTTTGTTCATTGGCTTTGCATTTGCTAGGTAGGTACAGTACCACTTGAGCCATGCTCCTAGCCCTTTTATTGCTTCAGTTATTTTTCAGGTAGGATTTCTCATTTTTGCCTGAGACTAACCTTGATCCTCCTACCTATACTTCCCATGAAGCTCGGATTACAGGCACAAACCACCACTTGTTTATTGAGATGGGGGTCTCACTAACTTTTTTTGCCTGAGCTGGCCTTGAACTGAGATCCTCTTGATCTCCACCTCCCAAATAACTGTGATTACCTGAACCACCAAGCCCAGCCCGCGTAGACATGTATGATTCTCTTTTTTTCTTACTTGGTTTATTTCCTTGTTTTGCTGGGGCTCATACTCTTGTAACTTCACAAGAAATGGTGTATGGGATGTAATTTCTGCATCTTTGTCTTTTAAGAGTATATCTTCTGCCCTCTTGACTTGGTTGACTACTTAGCTGAGAACAGAAATGCTGGATTGTAAAACTCAATTATGTTACTTTCGAATATAATTCTGTTGAAAGTTCAATGCCCTTCTAATTCTTACATGTCAGACCAGATTTCTCTTTCACTGATATCCAGATTCCTTTCTCTTATTTTACTTTTTAAAATTTATTTATTTTTTTGGCAGCACTGGGGTTTGAACTCAGGGCCTCACACTTGCTAGGAAGGCACTCTTATCACTTGAGCCACTCTACCAGCCCTTTTTTTGTGATGGGTATTTTCAAGATGGGGTCTCACAAGCTAGTTCCCCTGGGGCTGGCTTCAAACTACAGTCCTTCTGATCTCTGCCTCCTAAGTAGCTAGGATTACAGATGTGAGCCACCAACACCCAGCTTATTTTACTATTTTTAAAGTACTCTACAGTTTAATAACATACCTGGGTGGTCTTTCTTTTCATATATCATGGTAATGGTTAGTGGGCACATCAATTTCAAGATTTGTGTCCTTTAGTTCTGGGCAATTTTCTCATTGTTTATGGATAATTTCGCCCTGTTTTCCCTGTTCACTTTTCTAACCAACCCATCAGCTAGGATGTTGAACATCCTGGATTCTCTTGTCAGTGTCTCTCTCCCGATCTCTCCTCTCCCTCTCTCTTTCTCTCTCATCACATTGTTTATACTTTTATTTTTTCTTAGTTTATTCTTTGAAAGATTATCATGACTTCTTTATCTCTAGCAGTGGATTTGTTATAGTAATCATACTTTTCATTTTATAGTTATTTTCTGTTTTTTTATCTCCTCCCACCCCTGCATTATCTCTTTTTTTTTTCCTTTCTTTTTTTTTTAAATATGGAACTCTTCACAAATTTGCATGTCATCCTTGCGCAGGGGCCATGCTAATCTTCTCTGTGTCATTCCAATTTTAGTATATGTGCTGCCAAAGTGAGCACTCTTTTTTTTCCTTCTTCTGTTGTTGTAAACACTATCTCTTCTGTATCTTTAAGAGTACTAAATACAGTACTTACTCTTAAGATATTTGTATAGACTAACTTCTCTATTTTCTCTGGGTTATTTCTTTTCTGTTCATGGCATATTTTTCTGGAGAATTTTTCTCTTATATGTACTGATCCTAGGTTGTACATCTGACGTAAAAGTAAAATGTTAATGAATAAAGAAAATGTGGTATATGTGGATCTACTCAGCCAATAAGAAGAGTGAAATTATTTTGCTGGAAAATGGATAGAACTGGAAATTAACAAGTGAAATACTTCAATCCAAAAAGACAAAAAAAAAAAAAAAAAGAAGCCTGTGTATGAGACTTAACAAATGGCTTTGTTTTAGGAGATGAGCAAGGAGCCAGTTGTTTAACTGGAAAAGCCCAAAATGTTCCTAGAAGATACTTTATTTTGGAGCTGTCAGATTTCCCCAGAGAAGAATTGAAGAATTTCCAGATAATACTCCTGCTGAGATATTTCTATTTAAGATAAAGTAGGGAAAGAAATATAGATTGATTTACTCCATATGCATAGTAAATCCCCCTCAATTTTAGTTTCTTGCTCAAAGGCCCAAGTCTCTTCAAGGTTCTTGAGTGGGGTGAATCAGTCCTGTATTTTCCTTTGTTCAGTGATGTTCCTCTGCTGTGTCTGGTTGGTTTATAATGTTGTTCAAGTCTTCTTTTTTTCTTTATGATCTTCTGACTAGTTCTCTCTATCATTAAATGTGTGTTATTAAGAGCTTCAGCTGTCATTTTGCCTTTCAATTCTGTCAGGTTTTCTACATGTATTTTGAGATTCTGTTGTTAGGTGCATACTTGTTTGTAAATGTTTTATCTTCTTGAGGAGTTGGCTTTTTATCATTATAAAATGTTCTTTGTTTCCAATAACTTTTTTTTTTGTCTTAAAGGCTGTTTTGTCTGATGTGAATATACAGCTGTCTTTGGATTACCGTTTGTATGGCATATCTTTCAACCTATTATTTGTGTCTTTAAATAAAAAGTGTCTTTTGGCTGGGAGCCTGGTTCCAAGTGGTAGAGTGCTTGCCTAGAAGGAATGAGGCCCTGAGTTCAAATTCCACTACCATCCCCCAAAAAGTGTCTTTTGTAAACAGTGTATAGTTGGATAGTGGTGTTATTTTTCAATCCCTTATGCCAGTCTGTACCTTTTAATTAGTCTTTGTCCATTTAATATAGTTACTGGTAAGGTAATTGTCCCTCAGTATGAATTTACTTGATTGTTTCTTCATAATTAGGAATGTATTTAGGTGATACATTATTGAAAAGACAAACTATGTCTTATCCTTCTCCAAACATTGCATCAGGAGCTACATCTTGTCAGTTTGTCCCATTAGTGATAATATTAATGTTGACTATTAATTATGGTATCTGGTAGGTTTCTCCAATGTAAAAGGTCACTTTTCTTCCATTTGTCATTGATAATCTGTTCAAAGATACTGTGAATCTATGTAACTGTTCTCAACAAACTTTCACTCAGTGATGTTTTAGCATCTGTCAATAATAAAAAATTTTTCCCTAAATTTGGGGAAACAACTATCAGTCTACCAGAACTTCTTCTCTTCTTAAACTTTAAGTTATTTCTGCCAGTATTATAACTAACTGGTTTGTTGAATTTTTGAACTCAAACAGGAAAGAGCTCAATTTTTATCAAACCAGTAATGTTCTATCAGATCTTCTTTCCGCCTTTCTTTCCCTTCTGTTCCCTAGAAGAGTCTACAACTTTCTAGTCACCTTCAGTTATAACTGCATCATTTTGTTAAATAAAATTCACTTTTAGGTTTTTTTTTTTTTTTAAAAAGGCTAGTTCAAAACTTTAGTCTTGAATCCAGTTCATAGTTTATCCCTTCTTCACAGCTCATTCCAGATCTGCAGC